TCCGCCCCCCCCTTTTTTTCTTAACAGAAAAGGTAATAAAAAATAAAAAAAAAAAAAAAAAAAAGTAGGTCAGCCTGGCCCCAGGGACAAACAGTATTTTAGTCTCCGTTCCTGTGCAGCCCCTGCACCGAAGTGCAGCCCAGTTGGCACAAGCTCTTTGGGGACAGCCTGAGTGCAGCGCGGTGCAGAGAAACCCCTCCTGGGGAGGCTGGACCATGCCGCAGGCACCAGGGCAGAAGTGATGGGGCACCCCCCCGGTGGGAGGTGACAGTGGAGCCATGTACACTCACTTCTGTGAATTTGGCCCATTTGAGCACAAGTGTCAAATTTGCCCAACATTTGCTCATTTAAGCTCGATTCCCTTAACATTCTCGCGTTTAATTCCTTGTGAATTCAAGAGGTTTCTTTTTAAAATGAATTTTGCTTCTAAAGGAAGGTAGTATCGTGTTTTCCTTAGTCTCCTGTGAATCATCTGTTCATCTTATAGTTCCTCCTTCTGTCACTCTCTGTGTACGGCATTTGGTTTTGCTGATATCTGGAGGAAAGGCTGGATGAATAACTCTGACTCCCTACACGTGTATTTGATTTCCTGCTTTCTCGGGTTTTCTGTGCCATCATGAGCAAGTCATTTCCTGCCTCCCCTCGCCTTTCTGTGAGGAAGGGGAGTAAGTGCTGCTATTTTGAGAGCAAAATAATGAAATGTTTGAATTGCCTGAAATGTAAAGCTGCATATGTGCTCGGGTGATGAATACTTGCCCACCTTCCTCCCTCCTCACGGTGGATCATATTATTCTCAGTACTTTTTCCTCTTTTGATGCATGGGAAAGAATTTGCAAAGGGGCTTGGTGCAGGATGCAGAGGCCTCAGGGTCCAGCCGTGATTATGGGACCTGTGACTTTCCTGACGCAGGCTCTGGGAACTCATTTTACATTGTCTCTCAGTCTGGTTAAGCCACTTATTGCACTTTGCAGCAGTTTGCGAGAATGCAACGTTTGATATGTTTGTTGTCCGTTTTCTGCTATTTATTCAGGCTCCGGCCCAACAACATCCTGACTTTTCTTGGTGCTAGTACACAGCATATGGGTAAACAGGGTTTAACGTATCTGCTCACTTAGTTGAAGAAGCTTTACTTTCCCCAGGAATAGAAAACATCACAACAAAAGTTGGGCAAACAGACTTTGTGCTTGGACTGGCAGGTTTTCCTGCCATATGATGTATGTGTCTGTCTGCGCACTTCCATCACGCTCCCGACGTAGTTTGTCAGATCCATCCTGACACCCCATTCAGATGTGCATCAGCCCCTGGCTTGGTGGGCACATCTTCCAGCCACAGCAGTGGGATGCACGGGTAGAGTGCACCCAATATGCACTTTAAAAATGCATTACTTTAAACACCTAATCTAGAGAAAGGTCTGTGTTTGCCCGTTTGCCCATTCACCTTTTGGTAGGGAGAGAACAGGTAGTGTGTTAAGATTGCATAATAAAATAGAAATGCTCATTAATTAATGTAGGTAAAGACCTTTGGAGATTAAAATGAAGTACATAACGTTGCTTTAATTTGTTTAGCCTCCGTCTTCTCCACCGTAACAAATTAAGTGATATGCAGGACTTCAATCTGATGAGTATATGCGGAAAGTAGTAAGTAGTTTCAATATTAATGTCTAACCTTTGGGCTTTTCTACAGACTAAGTCAATAAATGTGACTGCTGCTATACTCCGTCTGATCCAGCAAATGACACATCATTGCTTAGAACGTAATGAGTGTTATTATGACCTTGACTTAAATATTTCCTGAAGAAATTTGTTCCGCTTTCATATCTCGCAGTAACAAATCCATCTGCAGACAGACGCTCTGCTTCTGAATGGATATACTGCATTAGCAAAATTATTGTAAGACATGATTAATAGTCTTGTGACAAAGTTACATGTGGAGGGGGAAGATACATGCTGCTTTCATGATTTTGCCTTTAGAAGTTTACAGAAAAAAAGGAGAATACAAAGTCAAAAGGCTTTGCTTTAAAAAAATACACCAAAACAAGCAATCTGCATGTGAACGGATTAACGGGCAGCCTTTGTGTTCAGGGACAAAAGAACAAGAAATTGAAAACACGAGCTCACCATTAAAAACAAATCCACATTAAACATCTTGCATTCATCCCACCACTCCATCAATTCAAAAGCAGTGTGTTAACTTAATAGTCCATGATGAACACTTGCAAAATCACATTTTTCATTATAAATATTTCAGATTCCTTAAAATACTTTTGAAGTAAAATGTCAGAAGGCAGCTTTCTATGAAATTGCTAAATATAACGAGTGCTGTAGGAAACTAGACTAACAGTCTGCGCAGAGAAGTCCTCCAGTGTTTTTCCTGTTACTAGAGAAAATTCGTTTTAAAAAAGCAGGTTAGCCAGAATCCCACCTGCTTCACTCCACAGAATGGCAGGAAAAGCAAATGGCTATTAAGGAAATAATATTATGCTTACCCCAGTCAGCACAAACAAAGCAACTCCTGTTCACTGCTGCTCCGGCTCGGCTCCCGTGGTCTGCGGAGATTAGAGCCCGCCTGGGTGCTCACCGGCAGCGGGGAGGGAGGAGATGGCTCCGCCGTGGTGGTAACCAGGCAGCGCTTCACGGGGAGTAAATTGCCACGAGCACGAGCTGCCTGTGGGTGTGCGTGTGCGTGCACGTCGCTGTCAATAACGGCAGCGGTACCTGGCAGCGCGGACACGGGAACCCGAGCGCTTCGCCGGCAGGAATTGACTCAAGCTGCTGCCGGGAGAAATGGTGCACAGTGTGCAGCAGCAGCTGCTCCTCGCAAGTACCGAATCTGGTATTGAAATATTCCTGGGTGGAACGCAAATATGATTTGCCTTAATCAAACAAATGACTTCTTGGTATTAAAAAAATGCCCCGTTTTCTTTTGTATGATTTTGGGAGTTCTGTGGGGCCGCACAGTGGAGCGGGACTGGACCGGGACAGGGTTTCCTGCTGGGATGCTCCTGCACCCCAGCCCTCTCCTCTCCAACGCTGGGAAGGTGATGCTCTCCACCATTTTTAGATGGTAGAAAACCATGGACAAAAAGCATTGCAGCAGAGACTAATCTCCATCACCAGAGTTTTAGACTATTTCAAACCATGCAATGGCTCTATTTTGTCTTTCAAAATCTCCCTGTGTGCACCTTCCCAAGAAGCACAGCACATATGAATACAGGAAATATTAATAATTCTTTGAATCTTTTCTGTACTGTAGGATTTTTAGAGATGGCAATAACAACTTTACTGACTGCACTCTCAATTGATTTACACTGCCATCTAGAATAATGCATGAAAAAGGTACGTATCGCTGCAAAGTTTAGTTTTATATCAGGAATAAATCAACTCTGAGGCAATACTAGAAATTCACATTATTTTTCTTAATTTTTTTTTTTCAGTAGCTTAGTTCCAAGGTGAAGGCAGTTTAGTACTCTCCATTTCTTGGTTGGCTGGACTCCATCACTGTGAACTCCATAGTGTCGGGGATTTTGGTCAGAATTTCTGGCTGTGGATTTGAATGTTTAGCACTAGGTTTTGGTGGAATTTGCATTGATCTGATCTTGAAACCCTTGTAAAGCTTCACCTGTTTCTCCCTTTAACGTCTTTCATGTGGCAGCACCAAAAGCCTTTGTGTGGCCCCGTCTGTACCCCCTCTGGAGTGAGGGGGAGCCAGTCCCACCCCTGGCATCACGGGTGAGACACCAAAATCAGAGTAACGTGAGGTCATTTGTTAGGGTATGTGTATATATACACACACCACATGTATAGATATATGCCCTAGTGTGTATGTACGTATAAACATGGATGTGCAGGTCAATCCCTCTGGTCCTGCTGCAGCACAGACGTTTCCATTTGCACCCCTGTGTAAAACCCATGGCAGCTGGCAGACAGCAGAAACCCTCGGCAGGGAGGCACAGCGCCTGTCCCGGCCGCTGGATGTGTGTGCCCGCGGTGCCCGGTGCCCTCCTGCGCCCGGCCAGGGGCTGTAGCCCGCTGTGCCTCGGGACAGACCTGGAGTGAGAAAGGTGCTGGCCACTTCTGCCTCTTGCTCTTTCATTCCCATCTATTAAATCCAGTTTTAAAACGTAAAAACAGTTTAGTGCTTTCAGTATTATCTTTGTCATATTCAGTTCTCAGGTAATTTCTTATTATTTTATAAGATTCTGGATTTCCTTATTAACTTCTTTTACTTTCTCAAAAGCTATTGGCAATCCTATCCTAACTAGAAATTTAATAACCACAGTTAAAACCTGTGTTGTGAGATAACACAGAAGCAAAAGACACCCTGGGCCACGGAGGGCATTTTAAGATAGATTCAGTTGAAGGAACCTACGTACCCGCAGCAGAGCCGAGCGCTGCCCGCTGGCGAGGTGGCTGGTAGGCGGGCACAGGGGAGGCAGAGGAGGAAAGCAACAAGTCCTTTATTGAAATAGGTTCATTATGATGATAATTCCAAACAGAGTGCTAATAGGGAGAACAAACTGGCATCCATCTTCCCTGTGATGCTGGTGCCTGACCCCTGGGTTTTGTTTGCCTCGCATGGAGGAGCGCTCGCTGGCCCTGTGCGGGGGGGCACCGAGTCAGGCCAGGCTGGGTTAGTTGTAGGGTGATTAAGGGGAAACGAAATTAAAAATGACACGATTTGTGATAATGCAATTGCTTTGGGAGAAGTTTAAGGCAGAGATAATAAGAACAAAGGGGAAACATTTACTGCGCTCCAGTCCTTGGAGTTTTTGTGGTGTTATTAGTTGTGTTGAATAGGAGATGGCTGTGATAAACTGGTGTGGGTACGCATGCCTTGTCTTGCTTCTGTAGCACTTGCTGTAAAGGTATTATAAATCTTACAGAAAGAGCACGACTGCAGCAGGGCGATGCTAGGGACAGCCGTCAGAAGTAGGAAGAAAGTTGCCTGGAAAAATGGAAAGCAGAGCAGGGCTCTTCAGTATGTGAGAGCTGCAGCATTCCTCCCATCAGCAGCATTCCTCCGTTTTTCTTTGTCTGCAGTTTGGCCTTCAGAACCATACTGAGAAAAACACCAACAACCCAGTGGGAGCGAGAGGGAAAAGCTCCCTTGTGGGCTTTGCTGTGGAAAGAATCAATCAAGATGGTGGCTCTCAACCTTGCCTGATAGAAATCGAGGGCAACAGGCAATTCAGTTCAGGGACTTTTGCTGAGTCTCAATGGGCTCGAGTTAAAACAGCAGTTATTAACCAAAGACACTCAGAGCAAGCAACAGTCTAGCTTTTAATGGCATGAATCAGAAGTGAGGAGGTGTGATGGAAACCAACAGCACAATGTGCAAATTACAGCAGCCCGTTTGCAGAGGTGTTCGAAAGGCGCCGTTAGCCCTGTCCCTGCGGGTCCTTCCCTTCTGGCGAGAAGGGACCTGGAACGCTTCTGTGAGTTTTTGCAAAGAAGCAAGAAAAGAAAATATCTTCTGAATACTATCAGTGAGAGGGCAAACAGGGCAGCAAGGCCATTTGTGCAGGAGGCGCATGTGCAGGGGTTTTCAAGGAGGGAAGTTTTGAGGTGTGACACCCTGAATGGAAATACAAACTCAGAAAGCAAATACAAAGAACCAGTGTTGGTAATCTCAGGGTTTTCCAGGAGCTTGACTCATGGGTTGTAAATCCTAGGGCCTGGCAGCACCACAAGTGCAATCCCCAGGTGGACACGCTCAGGGGTGTGACAGCCTTGTCGCTGCCTTTGCTCAGCTGTAGCATCCCTGGAACTCCCAGGCTGGTGCCAGCAGAGAGCACTGCAGCACAGCCAATGACAACAACATGGACTTTGGAGCACAAATAAATAAATAAGGACTTTTATAAGCAAAGCAGCTGGGATTTCTGAGTGGTTGGTCAGGGGGAGGTGTTATTCTAGGTGAGCTCCTTGAAATAACGTGTGATTCAATAATGTATTCCTCTCAAGTGGAACCTGTAAGCATTATTTGCTTTCCTTTGTTGCCTTAAAACACAGACACTGACTGTAAAGCAAGGAGGTTTCTTTATAGTGTGATTGGGAATGAGTTGATGATCCAAAGCTGCTGCTTTGAATCTATATTGTCTCTGCTGGAAAGAGTTGCTTTTTTCTACAGGCTTTACTTTTATAAATAAAGTGGTTAAATTGGTAACTGAGTTATCCAAGGAACTTAGCCGCAGGTTTAGCGCATTCTTCTTAACCTGGTAATTATGGTCCTGGGAACTAAGTGGTAACCATTCATTTTGAAATAGTAAAGAACCATATAATTAGCTCCTGATAGGCATGCGTTGTTAATTAATCTGTTCAATGGTACGTTTACTGTACAGCTTGATTATCTGTCCCTAAATAATTCCAGCTAGCATGTCTCTCGTATTGCCATTGATTTCATAGGAAACTGTCTTTCTGGGACATGTCCTGACCCACTGTACACACCACCATCCCAAAACTTACAGCCACCTCGTGACCTAAAGATCAAACATTGTGGGTTTGGGTTTGAGACTGAATTTCTTCACCTGAAGAATGGCTACTTTTGAATCACCTTTAGTCTCTGCTGCACAACGACTGTCCACGTGAGGTATATTTGATCATGCGCCCAGGTGCTTGGCCATCCTGCTTGTTGGCTTTCAGCCCCGCATTCCCGGTCTGCGCGGTTCCTGTCATATAGCGCATTTCCCATGTTGATCGTTCATGCTCAGAGTTGACTAATAGTAAGTAGCAGCCAGTTAGGAACCTAAAAGGGCCTTTCATTAGCTTTTTGAAAAAATAAGTACTAATTATGTAGGTTTGGATAGATGTTTACTCGAGGGGTTAACTACGCATCTGTAAAAAGCAAAACTTTAATTTTGTGCATCTGGGGAGGAGAGGCTCAGGAAATCGTGGTGACTGCTGGCTGGCGATGCCTGTGAAGCCTTGAAAAGGTCATCCTTTCCAACCGCTGCTGTGACCGCTCGTCACTTTGGAGAGCCGCAGAGGGAACGACCGTCTCTTGCTGGAAAGGCGGAGAGAATCAATGCAAAGGGCGGGCAAGGACAGCCCTGGTCCACGTTTCCTTTTATTTCCTATGCCCTTACTGCAGAAGTGCTGTGGATGCATGGCAGGCTGGTCCCACGGCCGCCTTGCCCAGTGGTCCCGTGCTCTGCTCCCTGCTGCTGCTGTTCGTCGGCCACGGGCTCCCTCTGGCCATTGCCCTGGGAATTTCGGCCTGCGCAAGGGCTGGGGACCGGGACTGTGGTGGAGAGTGGGCTTCGGCCTTGGCGGTGCGTCTGGCAGCATCCTCTGAAAGTTGTCGGTGCCATGCCTGTTCTGAACGGGAAACTGGCCATCTTTGAATGGCAGGAGACCTCCCTGCTACGTCATCCCATTGGGGAGAAGGTTTAATATATCAGTTGTTACAGAAAAAAAAAGATAATGGGAGCAATAAAATTCAGAATTGCGAGAACAATTATTTTTGCACCATGTAATGGCTGTTAAAAACCAAAACTATTAAGGCATTCCCAGTAAAAATATAGCTTTCTTTTTTCAGTTAAAAAAGAAATCATTCAGGATGCTGAAATCTGGCTGAAAGAGCAGTTTTTCTTTGTCTGCTTATTACTGTGTGCAGTAAATAATCAAGGAGTTAACAGTATTGTAGAATTTAGCTTAAGAAAGAATCCAATTACATTCTTCCGG